CCCCCCCCTCCAAATCATATCGAGACGAACCTGTGTCAAAAAACTTGTCATTTTTTTAAATTTTAGAATAAATGATCTTACAAGTAGCCCTTATGACACTTTTTGGGATATAATAAGAAAGAATGTAGCGACCGCCGCTTTTCTAGTTCTAGTTTTGTATAAAACTTGGGTAGCTCTTCTGTAAAATTGTTAATGAATCAAAATTTCGATTAGAAAAGAAGCGAAACATAACATAATTTTTATTAATGGTTATTTTTTCTCTCTATTTGCTCATTTGACATCGAGGAGGCACAGACAGAGAGCTTCGTTATCAAGAAATAACATAATGCCAAATTTATTAAAAAGTTGCCAAGAATTTTTCTTTACAGACAACCTTTACAATGTTCTTGGCGTCAGTAAAGAAGCAACAACCAAAGAGAGTGAGTCTCAACTCAATCTCAATTTAAAATAATTAATATTAAAAATTATACTTTTTTATTATATTTATATTTATGTAATAACATAATTGAAATTTATTTATAGTAATCATTATGATTGTTATTCATAGTCATAATATTATCATTAATATGGTCATTATGGTGTGTTTTTTTTTTATTATGATCAATGACAATGCCATTATCAATTATTTTTCTCTTGAACTTTAAAAAAAAAATGTATTTCCCATTCTTCTTTTCACATATTTAAAATTTTTTCCCTGATTTAAAATCATGCAAAAAATATAGTCTTAACGGTCTTAAGATAAAAAAAGTTAGTAAATTAAAATTTAAGATAATTTGAGACCAAACAAGAGAAAAGACTGTTCAAAATGTTGCAAAACCACTTTTAAATAAAAAAAAAAATTATCAGTGTCTGCAATACAATTAAGGGTCTTTTGCCATTAAAAGATTTTACTTGCAACATTGTGTGTTTCTATATGTGACAAGATAGTGAAAAGTGTAACCTTGCACAAATCATGGTCATGGGATTTGTGTGCCTTGCTTACCAGCTCTTATGATGTCTAAAAATGCATGCATATTGGCAATTGGTATGGCTTATTTTCATGCAAGACACCTACACCATGAAGCAAACACTACTGTCGCCACACACAGTTTATGAAGCACTGATATAGATCCTCTAATAATAGTAAATACTAATAATAATAATTATTAATGATAGCCAGATAGGACTATTAATTTTATCAACAAATAATTAACAGGCTCAACTATAATGATAGTAAAAAAATTAAGGATGTTCTAATGTTTCTTCAATTGCTTCTCCTTGCCTGAGCGTGGCATTTGATGCACTTGTTTGTCCCACAAAATGAATTCCTTGAGCATCTTTTACTTAAGGATTTCATCAGTGTTTTCAATCTTTATATTGATTTCAGATCGACAGGAATTTATAATAAATATTAGAGACTTAATTTCACTGATGCTTATATTTTCTATTTCAGTAAAAAAAGGATACCACAAAAAGTCATTAGCTTTCCATCCTGACAGAGTATCTAATGACAGCAAACTTATAGCTACCAAAAAATTTCAAGTACTGAGTCAGGTTTACAGCATCTTATCAGATGAGGCCTGTAGAGCAGCCTATAATGAAACAGGTAATGTAACAATTAACATGGAAGTTAAATATAACTGATTTCTGAACTGATCAGTGTGAACTGATAATTTCTTCTTCTGGAGTTATTAGTCCAATAAAATGATGGGCACTGATGCGAACCTTGAGCGACACAAAACTTTGAGGTTCTAGTTTAGGAAACAAACAACTAATACTCATGTTGACAGTCTCTACATGCCATAGGTTCACAACCACTGATTTAAGGCCTTCAAAGATTCTGTAATTTTTTTTATTTATTACTTAATTGGAAAGTACATTTTTTCTCATATTATCTAAATAAATGTTTTTATTAAAGTTTGTGTCCAAAGTGATTCGATTTTTAGTATATCCTGTACAATTTAGACAGCTTGATGTGTTTTTATGAAATACAGTGACAGTATTTTTAGTAATTTTATATGCAGGGCACCGCGACACATAAATATTATTTCAAGGGTTCCACACAAGTAAAAGGGATAATTGATTTTGATCTAAGGTTCTGAAAATACAATAGTGAGGAATATTATTTTTGTCTTCTTCATGCAGGCATCATTGATGAGGAAAGTGTTGATGAAGAAAGAGACTGGGAGCAGTACTGGAGGCTCTTGTTTCCAAAAATCACCAGCAAAGATATTCAAGAGTTTGCAGAGAAGTACCGAGGTTATTATGAATTATTAATTGGTCCAACAATGTTCCAAATGTATTAGTAATGATTGGCTAATTCTCAACCATGTCAATCGATGTTGCCTCTGGGTATGTTGTTGGGGATGTTTGTGGTTGAGAGGGGGGTAGAGCTATAGGACTAACTATTTAAATATGTTTAGGGTACAGGTATTTATTTGACAAAAATATTTGTGTACGGCTAACTTTTAAAAAATATGCTTTTGATGTTCACCGATAGAAAATTAGACAAAGCAAATAAGACTTGAAATAAGTATGGACAGATCAGTGTTTTAGTCATTAAAAATTTTTGTTAAGGTCTTACACTTGAGTTCCTCCAACATCATTTTTTAAACTGTACATTATGGCTAATTAATTTTTTTACTTTCATTTCATATGACTGCGGTTGGGTTATTTTTTACATGCATTTGTGTTTTAAATCGCAGGGAGTGGTAACCTTCAAAAGTTTGATGATGGCTGATCTCAAATTAAAATTATCAAAATTTGTTCTATAATCTGAAACTGCATTTATATGAAATTTAATATTTAATGTTGACTCCTGATTAACTAACTATTCATTACAATCTGATTCTATAACAGTACTAAAAGTGCAGTGAAATTACTCACTGATCACTCTGTTGTACTAGGTTAGTTTTTAAAAACCTGCAGCTCTGGAGCCGCATGCAACTCTTCGAAGGAATAGATGCAGCTATTTTATAAAAATGATCTATAATGACATGCTTCTCCCGAAATACTTTATTATAAGATATAATTTATAAAATGGCCCTTCTCAAAAACAGGTAGCAATCACCTGTACTAGCTGCACAGCTGATAGTTTATTTTATCTCCCACAGGCTCAGAAGAAGAAAAAGAGGATTTAAAAAATGTCTACCTGACCAGTGAAGGAGACATGAACACAGTAATGAACACCATGATGTGTAGTACCTTTCAAGATGAAGGGAGATATGCCCAAATACTTAACCAACTCATTGAAGATGGAAAAGTACCAAACTATGATGCATTCTCAAAAGAGAGTAAGAAAAAGAAAAATCTGAGAATAAAAAAGGTACATTAATGTCTTATGTTTTTAAGCGTAATGTAACTTTAACTTTTTGAAAGGAACTCAGTCATCACTAAGGATGTTTTATGATAAATTCAATTTACGATTTTGGGTTGTTTGTTAAAACTAAAGGAACATTAAAATTATTACTTTTTTTCTCAATGTAAGCAAAAATGTAATCACTTTAGTCTGTACTATTGTATTGACGGATTAAAGGTGACCATCATAGTCGCCCTACATAGTTCACTGAACTTTTTGAAAAATTGTATTTACAGATTTAGAGAGTTACAGCGATTTATTCACTATTAATTTAGGTATTATAGTTGTTCATCTCAAAGTTACTAATACAACCTTGGAGAAATAGAAAAAGACACTTGACACTTCATGCAGAAGCATTTATATAATTTTGCTCACCTATCATACTACACACTGTAGCTGTAAGGATAATAATATTTATCTTACATTAATTAATACATATAGGATAGATTCTATGTAGTTTTAGACAACATAAATTTGATTCAGGTCTCTGTGGAGGGCTCCAAGAAATAAAGGGCATGAACTAAAGTCTCGGTCATAATTTTAAAAAAGATATTTAAATGAAGAAAATCAGCTCTGTGTTAAATTTTAAAATAAGCAAAATATTTTTAACGTTATTGTTTTCCCTAGGCATTATCTGAAGCTAAAGAGGCGGAGCAGGAAGCAAAGAAATTGAAATTGGATGACTCTGAAGATTCACTCATAGCTGCAATCAGACAGTCATCTCGGGCTCGGCAAGCTGAGAACTTTCTTCAACATCTAGAGGACAAATACAGTGATGGTGGCTCAGCAGCGAAGCCAAGGAAAGGTGTTAGGAAATCTAAAAGATGAAGCCTGCCACTCACAAATTATTACATTTCTGTACATTTCTTGAACTAACTGAATTACCATCATGACATAGTGTGGTTATGTATTATTTAAAAATGTTTTTACTATCAACAAATAATCCATGCATTTGTTTCCCTAACATCTCATGTTGTTTGAATAAAACATAAAATTTACTTATTGAAGAAAATGAATGTCTAGAAACATGTGCATTTTAAAATGTTGCTGTTACGTTGCAAACCACCAATGAGAGTTATTAAAACATTTTCTAGAATGCCAAGGTGAGACCTTGAATGGAGCAAAAGGATATAAATATAAAGATACACTAAAATATTGTATGGCATTTAATTTTAATGTTCAAACATCTGTGTAGATCAAAACAAAATGTAAAAAACCTCCAATGTCCCATCACATTATTGCAATTATAATCTAAAGGGCCATCAATATATTATTAAATTATGTAAAAACTCTGATGATTACAGTGGTCATGGTCGACTCCCGACTGACGGACAACAAAAAATTATGTACGCAATGAGACTGTGGGGAGAGTAGGGTGGGGGCTGGTTGTATGAGCAGCATGTATACTTTATATATATGCACACATTTTGCAAAAATATCCTGAAATTCTGACTGTCCACATATAGCCTATTTACATATTATAGCAAGCTGTCACCTAAAAATCTGCAAATCCAAGATTTCAACTTATTTTTAAAGACTTTAAAAAGATCACTTCAATGTTGTGAGATTCTCATATTGTAGCTTCATTTTCACAAATGAAGTCACTACAAATGAAGTCACTAAATTTCATGATCATTGCTGGGATTTTTCTAAAATCTCCAGGTTTAGTCCACTGATTTCTCCATATTATATTACAGATATGTCCAAGGATCTTAAATAACTTTCTAATTTATGTTTTTCAAACATATACCATTATTATTTAAAAGTTTTAGACCTTGAGGAAACAGGAAGTGGTCACGACAATTTTAAATTATCTATTTTTATTCTAGAAAAGTTAAATCTCAGGTGTCCTATAAAATTGTGTCGGCACAAAACTGAGACTTTGTGCAACAAATTGATAAAACAAGAGTTGCATTAAGATTCGAAATAAAAACTATAGGAATTACAAACATTCATAACGAGGCTATATCATCTCATGTTGTATCAAAATTTTTTGCATTTTCGTATGTGACTCATACATGTGTGGTTTCATATTTTGCTAAAATAATTATACAGCCTAATGACAAGATTAGATTCCCACTTGTAAGTACACATGGGTGATGTGGAGTCCAAAAATGTAAAGTGTAACAAGGTTTGTTTTTTTTGCTTGCATAATATAATAAGTGGATCGCCCCTAATTGAATTTATTCTGAGTCATTGAGATAAAGGCCAGGCCCATACATGGGCTGTAGCAGCACTGATGATGATATTGAGATACAGATGCACACATAAATTTAAAAAAATACATTCTAATAGTTCTGAAGCATTATGGAGAAAAAAAAAATTAATTCTAGGATTAAATGAAATTATTTAGATGAAAAATTGCTTGACTCCAAGTTTATTTGAAATAATGTTTAAAACCAACAAAATTATATTTAAAAGTTTATATTTTCCCCAGTTTTCACTCCCTTAAAAAAACATTTTGAAGAGTAAATCTCTGTTTGACAAATTGTAGGATATTTGTCGAACAAATTGCTTTCCTAGCGGCATAATCTGTATTTCTGTGGCAGTGAAATACACACAAATCATACTATTTCTGAGTCAATGAAATGTACACAAATCCTACTATTTGTGAGGCACTGAGATTAAAAAACAACTGACAAACATACGTGACAAGCTTTACTTTACAAACTTGATCTTTTATTGGCGTCACTTAAAATACAATAGATCTAAAACTTGTTGAGAAAATGGTTTTTATTTTATTTCATTTGAAACAACTTTTATCCTAAATACATAAATTCAACGATTCGATTTTCTTACTTTCAAGGTCTCTTATGACAGCATCCATCTTCTGAAAGATCAACATTCACGAAACCGTAAAATGAAATGTTTGAAATTTTCTATTTCAAGGGAAATAACCGGGGGAAAATAAAATGATGCTGCTTGCATATTTTTAGCTTTCTGGGAAAATGGTTTTTTAAAAAATACACACAAATAATGAAGCAGACGGTGTGATGACAAAAAAGTAAACGGTACTAAAGGCAAAGGTGACAAATGTACAATTCAATTAAACAAAAGAAACTTATTTTGTTTGTTTTTGTTCAATTATGTGGCCGATTGGTCTAAACTGAGTCAATCCAAAGCGTGTAAAAAACACCACCAAGCCTAGAAAAGCAACCAACCAAAAAAAAAAAAAAACGCCACTACCCTCATGGTTGATGTGCACGTTAACTTAGGGGTGGCAGCATCGTTTCCCAAACCGTTGCACATATGCCAGTACATGGATGCAGCAGCGTAGTCCATCGAATCAGAATCAGACTTGAGTTTGAATGGTTAGTAAGGTTTTTCGCACGTGGTGTGCATCGCACCGTCTTTTTCTGTCATTGTAAAATTATAGCCATTTTGGTGGAGTTGCTGTGTGCATGCTAGCTATAATTACATCGCAATAAATCTTTAAGGAAGCAGGTATAGTCTTTGTCTTTATGAAGAACTGCAAGGATGGATAGCTTTTTAGTCTTTATTAAGAAAATATATGTAAGTAATCGATTAGATTTAAAGTTAAGCTTTTTTTAAACAAGCAAGAAAATCAAATCCATTGTCAAACGGACAACGCACGTACACCACCCAATGGGTAACACACGTACATAGGCCAATTGGTAACACGTAATCGTAGATATTCAAAGGTGTTACATACGAAAATAGCCCAATAGGTAACACACGTACAACGCCCATGGGTAACACACGTACATAGGCCAATTGGTGACACGTAGATATTCAAAGATGTAACACACGTACAACGCTCAATGGGTACCACGGGTAACACGTACAACCCCCAATGGGTACCACGGGTAACACGTACAACGCCCAATGGGTACCACGGGTAACACGTACAACGCCCAATGGGTACCACGGGTAACACGTACAACGCCCAATGGGTACCACGGGTAACACGTACAACGCCCAATGGGTACCTGTAACGGACCATGTTTTCACAACAAAACAGAGAGGTAGCGTGAGTGAACAGTGAATTGTGTTGACCAGGTTTTTCCACGGGGATAGACAATCAAGGTGGATTGTATTTTTGAGAACAAATGTGAGCTCCACGTTTTTGGAGAGTAAAATTATGTTTTTGTCAGAGCGGTTGTTTTCCACGCTTTGCTGGTAATAAAGTATGAGTTGACTGATATAGAGAGAGCTGAGCGCAGAGCAGTAGAGCTAGGAGAGCTGTGTGATTAGACAGTTGAGCTGAGTTGTAGCAGTGTGAGGACGTGTCTTTCTGAATGATGGAATACTATATATATACATGTGAAATTACATTCATGCAAGGATTATTATTAATATTAGCAGTATAAAGTGTGTTCAATAAAGTACTGTAAGGTTTAACCAGAATTGAGTATTCTTCTTTGCGTGCCTGGATAATAAGTGGAAGAATGTAGAAGTCTTAGTCGGCATCCTGAAGTATTAACATAAGTAACCATACTACTGACATAACCCACAACATAAGAAATAAGATCCCACGCCATGTCAGAGTAGATGTGTTACAGTACCACGGGTAACACGTACAACGCCCAATGGGTACCACGGGTAACACGTACAACGCCCAATGGATAAAACACGTGCCACGCCCAATGGATAAAACACGTGCCACGCCCAATGGATAAAACACGTACAACGCTCAATGGGTAAGACATGCACAACGCCCAATAGGTAACACGTGTACAATAGCCCACATGGGCAATGCATAAACAATCAAACTTCATGATATTTTTTCTTCGCTAGGAAATCGACCATTGAACTATAAAAATTGCATGTGAAGTGGTCAAATTGTTATGACGACGCAACGGTATTATCATTACCAAAGACCAAAGAACAGTGTCATTACATCTAGGCTGAACCAAAGACCATAGAACAGTGTTCTTACATCTAGGCTGACCCAATGATCATAGAACGGTGTTTTTAAATATAGGCTTACCCAATGATCATAGAACAGTGTTCTTACATCTAGGCTGACCCAATGATCATAGAACGGTGTTTTTAAATATAGGCTTACCCAATGATCATAGAACAGTGTTCTTATATCTAGGCTGACCCAAATGATAATAGAACAGTGTCATTACATCTAGACTCACCCAATGACCATAGAACAGTGTTATTACATCTAGGCTGACCCAATGACCATAGAGCAGTGTTATTACATCTAGACTCACCCAATGACCATAGAACAGTGTTTTACATCTAGGCTGACTCAATGACCATAGAGCAGTGTTCTTATATCTTGGCTGACCCAATGATCATAGAACGGTGTTTTTAAAAATAGGCTTACCCAATGGTCATATAACAGTGTTATTACATCTAGACTGCCCCAATGACCATAGAACAGTGTTATTACATCTAGACTCACCCAATGACCATAGAACAGTGTTTTACATCTAGGCTGACTCAATGACCATAGAACAGTGTTATTATATCTAGGCTTACCCAATGACCAAAGAACAGTGTTATTACATCTAGGCTGACCCAATGACCAAAGAACAGTGTTATTACATCTAGACTGACCCAATGACCATAGAGCAGTGCTATTATATCTAGTCTGACCCAATGACCATAGAACAGTGTTCTAATTTAGGCTGACCAAATGACAGCAGTGTTATTACATCTAGACTGACCCAATGACCATAGAGCAGTGCCATTATATCTAGTCTGACCCAATGACCATAGAACAGTGTTTTTAAATATAGGCTGACCCAATGGCTAATGACCATAGACCAGTGATAAATCCACTGGCCTTGGGTTATCACTTCAAAATTTAATGTACTTGATTTTATTAATCTAAACCAATACAATTACATCCACCATTTTAAAAACAATCCATTACGACATACCCATAGGGCAGGGCATTTAAACACAAATTAATTCATTTTCGTGTTAGGGGCTATAATTTAATTTTTACACGTATCAATTTTATTTTAACGGAGTAGCTTAACCTTGGTTTGGGTATACTTTTTAATATATATTTATATTCTTTTAAATGTATTCTTATTATCTGAATAATTTCTTTCCTTCCTAGTCACGGTTTTATTTTTAATCCACTATCATTTAACCAAACCATGACAACCAAAAATGATATCGCTTATCATTATCGCTTTTTCACTACGTGAATAAATCGTTTTTTTTTTCTATATTATCGTAACTCATTTCTTCAATTGTTATGCTTCTTGAATAGTTAAATCTGTTTTCATCGATCAACTGATTTCTAAGTATTCTTCTTTTTTAAAAATTTTAATTTAAAGATATCCTTCAATACATAACAGCTGGTTTTGACATAGGACATCACATTTTTGATGGCATGACTTTTAAAAGTTGGATTGGATATTTAACTCATGGGTGTTGACAGCGCTTAGCTTTGTTTAAACTAGATCGTTTCTATATTGTTTTATTTTCAGGTACGCCTCGCAGATGTCATGCCATGATTTCACAGGATCAGAGCCGCTGTTCATGAGATGATTTCACAGGATCAGAGCCGCTGTTCATGAGATGATTTCACAGGATCAGAGCCGCTGTTCATGAGATCATTTCCCAAGATCAGAACCGCTGTTCATGAGATCATGTCCCAAGATCTGAGCCGCCGTTCATGAGATGATTCCACATGATCTGAGCCGCTTGTCCTACACACCCAACGCCATTGCAGCTGTAGTTCTTATTCACCTTTTCACAAAATTAACATGTTCAGGTACGTAATCATTCAATGAGTTCCCGATGCCGGAATAGGTGCATCCAAATTATGAAAGCCCCCCCCCCCCCCCCCCCCCCCCCCCCCCACACACAATTTTTTTTTGTGTGTAACGTATTCACCCAGTTGTTAGTGATACAGTGGTGATATTTAGCTAAGTCTATATCTGTCACCGTCACACCAAGACATCATGAACGCAATTGAAATAAATGATCGAGTCACTTGATGTAACGAGTCACCGGCACTTTATTTCAATAAAACTGAAAATACATAATAGATTAACAACCTCACTTATAGCGCAGGGTATATACATATGTTCACTTCTGTGTTGATTAAATATCTTTGCTGTCGTCATCACATTAGCACACAATCTTATTATAGCAGCGCAGCATCACAAAGCGACCTTTCCAACATGGCTGCATAAAATCGTCTGTGATAGCTATACATTTTTGTGTCTCATTTGATTCCATCCAAAATCAAACTAACACATACAACACATACTGTTACAGTATGTTAACGCAATTATCTTGTGCTCCAATAGGAAGTCTCTAAACACCATTTTGAGTTATTTCATAAACACAGTTAAATCTTAACCAAGCTCAGTCACTTTACATAGGGCAATTAAGATCACCCAACGCCAGTTGAACTCACCTTACATCAATTACACATTATTCCACGCAGTTTCACTCAGCCACATCAATTTAATATCACTCTACATCTGTTTAAACAACATATCATAATTTTAACCTACCCACATAAGTTTAACATCAGCCCCCCACCCCGTCAGTCTTAATCACTCCACATCCGTTTAACATAACCCCATGTTGTTAAACTCATCCCACATAAATTTAACATTACTCCATAGCAGTTTAATATCCTCCCCCCCCCCCACATCTGCTAACATCACCCCCACATCACTTTAATATCCCCCCCCCACAACAATTAAACTCACCAAACATCCGTTTAAAACATCTGCTAACATCACCCCCACATCACTTTAATATCCCCCCCCCACAACAATTAAACTCACCAAACATCCGTTTAACTTCAAGGCATATCAATTTAAATGACTCCATTTCAGTGTAACATCACCCCCCACATCAGTTTAACATCAACACACAACTGTTTAACATCATCCCACATGAGTTTAACACCCCACACATCCATTTAACTAACCATAAATCAGTTTAATATCAATGCATATCAATTTAGCTCACCCCATATCAGTTTAACATCATCACCACATACCTTTAACATTACCCCAAATCAGCTTAAATTACCCCACAACAGTTTAAATCACCCAACAGTTTAACATCCCCTAAACCCATTTAACTCAACATACATAGTTTAACATCAAGGCATATCAATTTAACTCACCCCATATCACTTAAACATCACTCCACTTCAGTTTATCATTACCCCACTTCAGTTTAACATCACCCTACCTCAAATCAGTTAAAAATCACTCAAAATCAGTTTCACTCAACTTATTCGGTTTAACATCAAGCCACACCGGTTCGACTCACCAAGCATCAGTTTAACATCAAGACACACCAGTCTGACTCACCAAACATCAGTTTAACAGCAGTAAGTTAAAATATTGCCTAAATCAATTCACTTTAATATTTTCCTTCTTCTAGTTTCTTGTTTAAAGATAAATATTTGCTCCCTTATCCTGGAGCCGTCAGGCCTCGATCAGTTTGATCTTTCTTATTTGATCTTTCTCAGATTGTCCCGAAGGCTTCACTGGTCCTGGCTGTAGGTAC